AGAGAGAGAGAGAGAGAGAGAGAGAGAGAGAGAGAGAGAAAGAAAGAAAGTGAGTGAGTGAATGATCGAATGAGCGGGTGAGCGAGCGAACGAGAGAGAGAGAAAGAGAGAGAGAACGAGTAAAAATAATTAATTCCAACAAATTGAGCATGAGAGATATAGTCTTGGCTCGGTACGAGTTATGTATTTGTGCCACATTGTCGTTTCAGACTTTGTATGTGATAGATATGAAATCCGTTTTTATATGATGGAAATGGACAAAGTTAACACCACCTTTGTAACAATTGAAAATTTTTATCGTGTTAAGTAAGACGGGCGCACAAGAGCGCGACAATTAGGGTTTTCTTTATCTTCCTTTTTCTACGAGTTGTCAAATGTGATAATTCATTTTATTTATCTCCATCAATTGTCTCTTGCGCATCCAGGTGCCTTTTCTCTATTGTAAAGTATCTAAGATTGATCTTTCTCGCTATGGAAAAGGAGCATTGTAAAATATAATACGCGTGTACATGTATTGTAATAATCAATGTACTGACCCCACTCAACTCTAAACGGAGCCATGGGAATTGAGTGTAGTAAACTTACGTTTTTTCACAGTACCTTGAACTAGAATCCTGCGAGAATTCATTAATACATTAATACATCTTTTTTCTTGACTTGATTTCATTCTAACAAATGAATCATCTTGTTGTTTGATGTCGTTTCTATTATATATGTTTTTAAGTATAATATATTTCGTATGTTGTTTAATAATTAAGATTTTTTTTGTTGATAATTAATATCAATTGATAGAATATTATGTGATTGCGTTGATGATGTTATCGATAACATGCGAGACAAATACAAAACGACAGAGAGATTATATTATATGTCGGTATGAAAAATAATAATATAGAGAAATATATATTACTGTGAGATTTATATATATATATATATACATATATATATATATATATTTTTTACGTTTATCCAAAGAGAAAAATAAATGATCAGATGAAGTGAGCTTATTAAAGATATAAACGAAATCTATATATATATATATATACACATATATTTGTAACATCATGTTACATTGGGGTTTTCCCCTTTGTTCAAAATAAGGGGTGCTATATACCGCGTGTATGAATACTCGCCAATATTATTTAGTAGAGAACAGATTTTATAATGAAGATATTGAAACGTTTATTGTCGTGATATGTCTTTGTAGCAAAGTATATATTTTATATCGAGCATCTATTCACGTGTCACGTGTTTTAATCAATCCTTAAAAAAAAAAAAAAATGAAAAGACTAAAAATTAATCTACATTAATCAAACAAACAGATCATTATACTATGTGAAATTCTTTGTAACAATTATTGTACAGTGTACGCACATTTTTAGCATTGTCAGCCTAAACATTGAAAAACAAAATTCATGAATAATGTATTATCATTTTATTCCTATAAGTCGAATAAATGTTTCACAGCATCGCTTTCTCAATAATTTTCTCAACTGACATGGGTATGGATTTAGTATTAGAATACAAATAAACAATAAAACAATAAAATATTATATTTTGTCCATTTTATATCATATTTACAGATATTATTTTACAATTGCAATATATTATTTGACAATTCATAATTTTAAATTAAATAACTTTGTTTAAGTAACATTAGTTACATAATTTGCCATTTTCCTGTTTCACCTTTCACTTTACCTTCTTTTAATAATTTGTCAAGATGACCTTTTACAGTATAGACTGCTGCTTTACTCATATTCTTTGATGAAACTTCCTAAAAACATCAAGTTTTCTATATTTTATATTCTAATAGGTACAGATATAATGAAAAAATAATCATTACCGTGTATAAATGATTTACAATATCCAATTCAGACAATGTATTATTTTTTGCATTTTGTTCTAGAATATTTAAAATATCATTTTCTCTTTTTAATCGGTTTTCAATATAAAAATTAATTATATTTTCTGGATTTTCTATTATTGGTCCATGTCCAGGATAGATAATTTTTGGTTTCATTGTCAACATTTTTTTCAGAGTAGCTATGTAAGTATTTAAATCTTCAAATACAGCAGTACCTTCTCCAAGAATACAATCTCCACTTAATAATATTTTTTCATCTTCCATCATAAAGGAAGCATGATCACTTGCGTGTCCTGGAGTATATTCCACAACAAGTTTAGCACCTTCTACTTCTATAATTTGTTTGTCTGTTAATTTTTCCCATTTAAATAAATTTTCCATGTTTCTTGAATTTTTATCATCTGGAGTTCTTGGAAATTTCCATACTGTACTTTTTATTTTTGTATTTATAGTTTTTAACATATTTAAAACAGAATTCACTGCTCCTAAATGATCAATGTGCCAATGAGTAATTAATAAATGTTCAATAGTTGCTTTTTCTTCTTTTAACACTCTACATAATAATTTTATATAATCATTTGCAGTTTTTTTTTCAGTTGTATCGATTAATATACGTCTATAATAATAATAAACATTACAAAATATTCTAATCTTTTTAACTTATGAATCTGATTTTTATTACCTATTGCCAGTACCAACAAGGTATGAATTTGTACCTTGTAATGTCATAAATCCTTCGTTACATCCTAATATTCGTATTATATTTTTAGATAATCTTGTTACTAAAGGTAAATGTGTTAACTTTTTCATAATTCAATCGGTGTAAATTTCCAATCAGCATAAAATTCCACTATTGTCAAATGTGCACTGAATGTTGGCATTCATATGGCATATATTTATAGCACTTTTTTATGTGATTGTCAAAATCGTATCAATAAATTTCAAGGTTTTGCATGAATATTTATAATTATAGATACGAAAAAAAAAGTACATGTATATAATATTATAAGTATACAATATCGATAACGAATACAATAATAAAAAACAATTTCATTAATGTTATAGAACAAGGTTATAATAATGAATATTAAAATACGTATTTATTTAGATATAAAATCGTTAACTTCAAATTATTCTTTAAATTTTTTTTAAATTATTGAAATAAATATATAGTAATATGATTATCGGATGTATGTATGTATGTATATCGAATAATTATACTAGTAATTAGTATATTTTAAAATAGCTTTTTTTTATATGTTAACATGACTAATGATATTCGAATATCGTCTACTTATTTACTGATATTTATTTATGCATTTCATTAATTAAAGTGAATATTAATAATTCTTACGTTATATTTATTCAACACTTATAATATATTTTGTCTCGGACAATAAGTAATTAATAATTCGACATAAGAACGAAGCACTAGTTAACTTTGATATAAATTAATATTGACTGTGTATCTATGCATTACGTTTGAACAATAAATCGACTAAAATAGACAGAACCAAAGATAAATGAAAGTAGCTATTGTGAGAGTCATCGATTAATAAATGATAAAGACATAACATAAGTTGAAATAAGATAAACAACAAAGAATACATACAAATTTATTTCTGGTTTATTAATTTTGACAGTTTTATCGGATAATAAATTTTTTATCATCTATTTGAAAATAGCTTTAGATATTTGAAAATAAAATTCTTGATAATTTTAAATTACAATTTTAAATAATTGATATTTTATTAGTATTTCTCTATGAAATTAAAGATATTTATGAATAAAAGATATTTAAATTTTCTAATTATATTTTATCGATACATAATCATAATAGAAAAAATTTATAATCAAAATAAGCTATTTCTTATATATTATTGTAAATTAACACATAAAAATGATTCATTAGCATAAATTTTATTATATCAATGTAATATTATTTATATTACATACACATTTGTTGCATTAATTAAAATCATAATCAAAACACATGAATCGCTTTAGATGTTATATCTTTTTATTAGAAAACATTTAATTCACATTATTATTTTTGCTTGCAACATAAATAGAATATTTTATTTTAAATTAAATAATGCTCATATTTAACATAGAATATATTTAGATTTAAATAAATATTGTAAAGAAATATAAAATAATTGAAAAATAAGATAAATTAAATTCTCATATTTTATTTATTTATTTTAATAGCATCATTTTCAATTTTTGAAAGATTTTAAATTTAAATTATTTTTTTAAATTTTTGAATATATTCAAAATCATAGATTGAAATTAGAATATTACACATAATTACGCAAAATATATGTTATCTGAAATCAGGACATAAATATTAAAACGTAAAAATGATTTTCATTTTTCCATATATATTATTAAATGTAAACAAACGTGAACAACATTTGCAACGTATAGTAGTCAAGCTGACTGATAAGAGTATCAGTTAGAGTTAAGTACATGATTATTCAACTTGATTTGATTATCATATCGTCGCCACTTTTTCGAAATTTTTTCTTAAATATATTTTTTTTTTATTAATAATAAAAGGATCATTAATCATTGTCGGGGATCATTATTGCGCTAAATACGACACGTTTCAACGTACATCTTTAATATAGTATACATTCAGATTAATGCTACGTACTTTTGATTCTTTGTTTCTCAGTTATATGATTCCTCCATCGCGACCAATTAAGATTTCGTTGTTTTTTCTTTCTCTCTTATAAAAAAGTATCGTTCACGATGGAGAAGTCACAGATTATCCTCATTAAGGAGGGAAAAAAAAAAAAAAAAAAAAAAAAAATTGCGAAAATTGCGAAAACAATCAATGAAATCGTGTAAAAAATTGCGAACGCTGGTCGATTAATTTCATTCAATCACGATCTTACGTACGAATCTTATCAAATAAAATATTAAATCCTACAATTAAAGGTACAATTAATTACAGTCACTTAATTACATAATTACACAATCATAATTTACAAGTAAAAAAGTAAGTCGAACGCAAATATATTCGGCGATCCTTTGCCTCGTTCTTTCGAGAAAAAAAAAAAAATTTCATCGAGTGAATACCAAGATAAATTCTATCTAAAATATTTTCCTTTGGTCACGTTTAGGCCGTCACTTCGGTCGACGAACATTTGTCGAACATCGCGTCTAACACTTGTATGAATTTCAGATGCCTTTCTTCCGGTGCTACGGTGGCTCCTCGACTCCCCCACAAAAATTTTATGTGGAACTCAGTTCGAAACGCGTCGGACAATAGTTCGTCGCTTCTTGAACCTTCGAGAACGATCTCGGCGTTCCTACGGAACAATGGAAGATTCTCTGTCATTTTTCGAGCCGATTCCAAGTGGGACCATACGATGGATAAACCACAATCCGGTGCCGAATTCTCCCAAGGTGATAGAATCGCTGTTGCCAGACCTGATGGAGCTACAGTTCCTGTAAAAAAAGGTTACAATTTAAATCATTAATTACAGTTTAAATCGTACTATATACTTATCGACACACAAAAAAAAAAAAAAATAAAATATTCTCTACGATACAATCTCCTATGATGAAAACTAAACTCGAGTCCCAAAAAAACCCTTGCCTATCCAGTGTACGTACCCAAAATGTCTTCAGGCCCCCGTTCTCCGAGCAGAGCGATAGGCAACAGATGGGGAAGCGTGGTATTGGGCGCTTGAGGGTTCGTGCACTCGTTCATAGCACGAAGCGTAGGCCTGAGCTTCGCCTCGAAGCTGAACGCCTCGTCGGTGTGTTTCTGCCTCAGCAAATGCCACGTGTTCGCCAACCTCTGTATCTGTGGCAAACAAAGGCCCAGCATCACGCCGCAGAAACCGTATAAATTACCCAGGGCGGTCTTCGTGTCTATGGCCACTTTGATCCACTTGCTAATCGTTGCAGCTCTCTCAATCGCGGTGGCTCCGGCCAGCACAGTCACCGCCACTACCAACTTCAAACACTCCGATCTTTCGATCAAATCCAACCTTGCTTGTCTACCGTGCGGCAGAGTGGCCAACTCGAGGCCGCTGAGACCGTTTCTGTTTCCAGAGCCAGGCTGTAGGGCCAGCTCGAGATCGATCTTCGTCAGATGCGAGGCCAACACTCTTGGTGCGGAATCGTGCAACATCCCTGACACTCCTCTCAATGCCGTGGGATCCAGAGGTCTGTGCTCACCAGCCGGTAGTAACAGAGTTGTAAAACCCTCGATGTCCAGCGCTGTGGTGATCTCTAAGGGAGGTGCTGCGACGACCAGTTGTTCCTCCGCGGATAATTCGTATTCGTTTCCATTATTTCCGTACGTACCGTCGTTGCTTGCGTTATAATGGCTCCTAATCACGACCCCCTTGATAGGAGCGGACGAAGACGGGTTGCTCGCACCCCCAGAGTTGTTCGTTTCGAACTCACTGTCCCCAGACCCGTTCCCGCTGTCGCTCCCGGACGCCTGATAGCCCTGGTGATGGTGATGATGGTGATGGTGATGGTGATGAACGTGGTGCTGGTGATTAGGCGCGTATGGTACCCTGGGCGGTTTCGGTGGAGCGGTCCCGTGCGAATTCTGATGGTTCAAGCTCGATGGTTGAAGCACGGGTTGCTGTTGCTGTTGGAGCGCCGGGTCGGAGATCACCCTGGTGATCTTTTGACGGCCGAGGGACAGGGAACACGAGGGTGGCTGGTTCTGAATAGATGGGACACGCGGCAGCGTGCTCGATTGGACCTGTCCGTGTGGCACAGGTTGCTGATTCGACGATTGACGAGCATCGTGCTGATCGGAGGGATGGTGCTGGGCGGTGAGCGAGTGACTTCGTTGTTGCTTTCGAGGTAGACGTGGCGGGGAACCGGTCGACAGGGACGAGGAGGAAGGGCTGGAACAGTGTTGGCTGTTCGTTGGACCTGTTACGCATGTCAGAGGAACGGATCTTGGTTTCGGGGTGATTATGCGAGCGCCACTCGCCTGGCTTATAGGACGGCCGCTGCCCACGTAGAAGGTTATCAGATCCGCTACCGTGTCGAATGCCTCGTCCTCGAACTGGTACTGGGCCCTCTCGTATACCGTTTCCGGTTGGATCACTACCTGTCGAGACCAAAATTCGTTAAAAATTCATCGATACGAATTGGTGTATCGTATATTGTCCAAGGTAAATTTAAATGTAATTTTTTTTTTCCAACTTTTATTAGGTATATTTTATTACATAGATTTCCTCTCTTTTTTTTCAAAAATTTTAATTTCGATCGTCGATTTCAAGTGATGTAAGTTTTAAAAGAAAGATTAAGCGAAAGAATAAGAAAGAATTTACCCTATTGATGACGAAATGAAGGGGTTGGCCTTTCCATCGAACCGTAAGAACGTAGTTTCCGGGTTGGGAGGCACAATCCCGGACCAGGAAGTCACCATCGTTCGGCACTTCCGCTTCAGCGCCTTTTCTACCACCCCGGAGTGTGCTTCCGTGATACCAGGCGTGCGATCTTAAGTCTCTCGGATCCAGAAGTCGAAGTTCTCGCTCCAAAAGCTTTCGAGTCGATTCCTCTGGTGGATCCTGAATTAAGTAAGAGAAAAATATATGAATTTTAAAGCGAAGAATTGATAATATTAAGATAATATTTAACCTCGTTTCTATATATTTTCATTTTTTACTTTACATAATAACTAACAATTATCAATTATCATTCTTCTTTTATTTGTAGTAATTATCTTTATCTGATTATCTGATTATTTTTTTTAGTGCAGTAATTATATTTATTGCAATTTATTTTTTCTTCTTTATTTCAAAATTAATCTATAATTTTTTTAACTAATGGTTTTTTTAAATACCATTTTTTTTCCATTAAATAAAAATAGTTTAATTTAGTATAATATATATACTTAATATATTTAACAGAATAATACGTTTTTTTTTTTTTTAGTTATTTTTACATAACATTTTTACATAAGATGATTACTATAATCAATGGAGTAGTGTCTAGACCGTACGAGACCGCAAGATTGGCTTAACAAGAACAGCCTTGAGTACTCGATCCATAAAGAGATCAACAAAGTCAGCGTACAACTTATCAACGGCTTAGAGTGTCACGCGTTAAAGCTGGATCATCGAGTCGGTGCATCAACGAATCAATTATCAGCTTACTTCGACCAGCTTATTATTTCTTATTACTATTTCTCCAAAAAATCAATTTTCATTAACCTAAGCGATCCATAATAATTCTAAACAAAATTTTATCCAGCGTGAAGATTACGTAGATGTTAAATTCAATTTGATTCATACTGTCTCGTGTCAATTTGAAAAATTAATCAATTACCCGAATATCAAAGAATTTCTACAACGATTCAAGTCAAGAATCATTAGAAATTTTCGCGAACATCACAACATCCTAATCCTCCCCTCCTCTCGAAAAAGATGTGTCATTGATCATCAACACCTCCAACGTGTCAACACTACAATTTTCACACCCACTAATTATATATAGCAGCTATGATCATATTTCTGAAAAATGGAAA